AACAAAGCGAGCCTTTGAGGTGAGATAAACCAGGTATTCGCTCATATAGAATCCATTGAGGAACAGGATTTTTATGACCTTGAAGTAATGATGTTGATTGAGAGGGTAATTCAGATGCTAAAGTATTGGCTATCAGAACTTTGTCTAAGAAGTCACTCCCTTCAGTCTACAGATTTAGATTCACTTTAGAGTCTGAAGCTCATGAGCAGCCTGACTTTGTGTATCCTTACGTTGTATATCTAATTATCCTTTGTGGATACTGATGACAGAGCTAATAATATTTTATCCTGTGCATGGCCATAGGCCAAATAAACCTGACTTTTACTCAAAAAAACCCAAACAAACAAAAACCCCCCTCAAACCCCACCTGCTTAAGGTCCAAGAACTCAGTTTGATGACCTGTCTTGCCATTTGATATTAAGAATGGCTCACAGATTCATGGACACAGAGAGTGGACTAGGGGTTGCCAGAGGGGAGGGGATTGGGGGGCTGGGTGAAGGGATTAAGAAGATCAAACTGGCAGTTACCGAATAGTCACAGGGATGAAAAGTACAGCAAAGGAAATAGAGTTAATAATATTGTAATAAACCTGTATGGTGCCGCTGGAAATAAGGGCAACACTGTGTAAAGTATATGATTTCCTAACCACTATGCTGTATACCTGAAACCAATACAAAATACACTGAAGAGAAACTGTAATTTTTAAAAAAAAATAATGGCTCCTGGCTGTGGATGCCTCTGCCGCAGCAGCTAAATGTGGAAAAATCCGAGACTCTCTCTTTATATGGCGCTCTGCGTGTGGTGATGCCAGCTCCTTACAGATTATCTGCAATGCGTGTGCTATGGAGACATATATGAAACTATATTTAAAAAAATGCCACATCTAAATGTTTCCAATGGCGAGGTTAGTTCAGTAGAACAATCTTATATAAGACAGTACTTGAAGAAAAGCTTAGATCTGTGGGTCGGAGTACTATTTAGTCATCTGTTTGTGCAGCTATATTTTTAACTTAATTTATGATGAGCAAATAGTTGTTTTTTTTTTTTTTTTTGAACTCCCAAGCTGTGTTTCCATACTTTAGTTTGGTTTATTTTCCTCTCAATTTCCTTCAGAACACATTACAAAGAACTTTCTTTGGAAATTTCATAATACTTCCATGAAAGTAGGCAGCATCTGTCAGGAAGCATCAAACCAAACGACCAAAATTAAAGACGTGAAATAGAACCAGAGGACCTATGTGTTCTTTCCAATGCTGTGCAATAGAAGCATAGGCCTATGTCACATTCTCTTTGTTTCTTCCTTTTTCTTGGTTCTTTTTATTTTTATTGAAAACATTGTCTGTGGGCATGTAAAACCTCTGGCAACACTTCTGACTGACAAAGAACCTTTCAATTGTTGCCAATTGAATTATCATTACTGTCATAGTATTAAGAGTAATATACTTGCCATGGGATCTAGAATAGTAAGTCTGCATAAAAGACATAGACCCTGTCCTCAAGAAGTTTGCCTTTGGAGAGTTTCTTCTTTTATCTTCATTGAAGAGTAATTGATAAATATAATTTTATTTATTTAAAGTATATAATGTGGTAATTTTATATACATATGCATTGGCAGAATGATTACCAAGATCAATATAGTTAACACATCTGTCACCTCGTGTAATTAGCATAGTTAACTTTTTTGGTATGTTAATGAGAATGCTTAAGATCTACTCTCAATAACTTTCAAGTATAAGATGCCACATTATTAACTATAATCACTATATTGTACACATTCAGTCCTCAGAACTCATTTTTCTTATAACTGAAAATGTGTACCCTTTGACCTACATTACTCGCTTCCTGCTTTTCCCCAGCCACTGGCAACCACCCTTTTATTCTCTGTTTCAATGAAGTGGGTTTCTGTCTTTGTTTCATTTTTAGATCCTACATAGAGGTGATACCATATGGTATTTGTCTTTCTCTGACTAGCTTATTTCATTTAGCATAGTGCTCACCAAACTTATCCATGTTATTGCAAATGGCAGTATTTCCTTCCTTTTTTATGGCTGAGTAATATTCCACTGTATAAATATACCACATTTCCTTATTCACAGGGACATTTAGGCTGTTTCTATACCTTGGCTATTGGGAATAATGCTGCAGTGAACATGGGTGCACAGACATCTCTTCGCGATCCTGATTTTAATTCCTTCAGATATATACCCAGAGGGGAATTGCTAAATCATATGATAGTTTGATTTTTAATTTTTCCAAGGAACCTCCATACTATTTTCCATAATGGCTGCGCCATTTACATTCCCATCAACAGTGCACGGGGCTCCCTTTTCTCCACATCCTCCCCAACACATGCAATGTCTTATCTTTTCAGTAACAGCCATTCTAATAGGTGTGAGGTGGCATCTCATTGTAGTTCCCTCACTGCATTTTCCTGATGATTAGAGGTGGCTGTCCCATTCTGTTTCCAAACCCATCACTGGTCACCAGACACTATGCTAAGGGTGTCATTCATAACATCTCATTTACTCTTTGTAATGGTCTTGTCAGGTACTATGTTTCCTTTATAAAGGAGGAACTTGAGGCTCGGAGACGCTGAGTTATCTGCCCACAGCTTCACAGCCAGGGAAGCGCAGAGCAGGACGTCCGCCCCAGGTCCGTGAGGCTCCCAAGCCAGCGCTCTTCACTGCGCTGAAGTGAGGCCTTGGTTTCTTTTTCTCCTCCTCTGAAACGGCTTACTTTTTTGAAACTAAGATCCGAATTCAATTGACATAAAAAATATTAAGTGAATCATATGCGATCACACCATATAAATTTTTCTGTTCTGACCGGCACTTGGAAGGATGTTTTCCATGAGCGCTCAGGGCCGGTCCTCCACAGGTTACCCAATCCTGCCTGTTTGGCCCTCCCTCCCCTCTACGGTTGCCATGTCAGGTCTGCCTCATTCTGCCCTTTTATTGCCTTCAGGATTGTGTTCCAACGCTCCGTGACGCTCTCCTGGGGGCCACACCACCAGGGACAGCATCGGCGAGCAGGGAGCACGCCAGGGCCCGGCTTCTCACTCAAGGCCCACGCAGCACACCAGCCTCTCGTCTTTAGAGCTTGTCAAGCCCATGTCTTGTATGAATCCTGTGTCTCCTGAATGCTGTAAGACACAGCCAGACTCTTCAGATGATTCTCTTAAAGCTCCCTGCTGGGTCCGAGAGGGTGGGAAGGAGAACCAGCACTCCCTCAGCTCTGCAAAGAACCCAGGAAAGCCACTCAGGCCTCCCGTCAAGGCCCCCAGATGAGGCTCTGCCTTGGGCTCTGTCAGGTCACCCTCTGTAGAGTCTGCCCCTTTCTTTCGCGAGCGTGGGCACCTGGCACTCCTTGTTCCCAGCACTGGGGGCTCAGCTCAGACGGAGGCATCAGAGCAGTCCTGCCTTAGCTTCCTGTTACATAGAGTTGGGAGTTTTTAGCACACAGTTGTAATTAGAACTGTGGTGGAGGCAGAGATGGAAGGGGAGGGGTGGCTTTGGAGAGAGCGTGGAGAAATGAGGTGGCCGAAGGTGGGGAGCACTACTAGCATCTAAGAGGAAGAGGGGAAGAGTAACCCCGCTACGCTGAGCCGAGATCCTGGGAGGCAAGAGGAGACCTAGGGGTGGGAACTACTGAGGAAATAGAAGAGAGTTTCAAGGAGATGATATAAAGGACTGAACTCCCTGCCATTTAAAGAGCTCCTAGAAATCAAGAATGAAAAGCTAATAGCTCAACAGAAAATGGGCAAAGACCATGAGCAGAGAACTCACAGCAAAAGAAAGGCAAATGGCCCTTGAACATCTGATACCTTCAACCTCACGCGCAATAAGGGAACTGTGGGTGAAAACTACCCTGAGATCCATTTCTCATCTCTGAGAGGGACAAACATTTTAACCATATGTTGCGATGGCAAAATTGTTGGGGAAGCAAGCACCTTCCTGCAGTGCTGACCGGAGAGCAAAGTGGTTCCACCCCGGTGTAGACAAACCTGGCGATATCTACCTGACACTCACACGTCGTCCCTCTCTGATGGATGGTCACTCTACCCTCCTTGAAACATGTTCCTCATTTGGGTTCCAGGACAGCAACTTCCTAGATTACCTCCTATGTCATAGTTTGCTCTTTTTGAAGAGCAAACTTCTTTGCTGGCTGACCCTCCTTTGCCTGCCTTCTGAAAGTTGGAGTGCTCCGGGGTTCGTTGGGGACCCTTTTCTCCATCTATATCCTCTCCTTAGATCATGTCTCATTCAATCCCATTGGCTATTTATGTGTGGGTATGTGCTAAAACACCCATTAATATAAGTTTCACCATTTCAAAGTGTATGGTTTAGTACATTCACACTGTTGTGCAACCATCACTTCTGTCTCATCCCAGAGCATTCTCCTCGCCTCAAAAGAAAACCCCAAACCCATTCACAGTGGCCTCTTGCCTTTCCTTTTCCTCCTGGCCCCTGGCAACCACTAATTTGCTTTCTGTCTCTGTGGATTTGCTTATTCTGGATGTTCCAAATAAATAGAATTGTTCATTTAACGTAATGATTTCAAGCTTCATCCATGCTGCAGCGTGTTTCAGTACTTCCTTCCTTTTTGTGGCTGAATAATAATCCACGGTGTGGTTAGTCCACATTTTGTTTATCCATTTATCCATTGATTCTACCACTTGTTTCTACCACTTGTTTCTACCACTTGGCTACCTTAAATAGTGCTGCTATGAATATTTGTGTATGAGCTTTTGTTTGAATGCCTGTCTGTATTTCTCTAGTGTCTACACCTGGGAGTGGAATTCTTGGGTCATCTGATAATTCTGTGGTTTTTAAAAATTTCATTTCATTTTATTTTTATTAAATTTATTGGGGTGACATTGGTTAATAAGGTTATATAGGTTACAAGTATGCATTCCTATGATACATGATCTGTATGTTGCGTTTTGTGCCCACCGTCAAATCATCTTCCCCCACCATATATTTGACCCCCTTTACCCTTTAAAAAATATGGGACACGTCACAAATTTGCATGTCATCCTTGCTTGGGATCATGCAAATCTTCTCTGTATCATTTTAATTTCAAGATATGTGCTGCTGAAGCAAGCATGGTAATTCTGTTTACTTAATATTAAAAAAAAAAATCTGTAGGCCGATGACCCCAAAATCTATATCCTGGCCTGACTTTTCCCAGCTGTCTACTTCAAATCTGCTTTGACATACGGGCATCTCAAAGGCAACCTGTCCACACCTGAAGCTATGTCTCTCCACTCCCCCCAAACTCCTCCTCTAGTCTTCTCATCTCAGGAAATTGCCCCGCCATTCACCTGAGGTGCTCAGCCAAGGGCCCTGGGACTCATCCCTGGTTCCTGCCTCCGACTCTGCCCACAGCCAGTTGGTCAGCAAGTGCATGGACCCTGCGTCCCCAGTATTCTCCTCCATGGCGGCTACTCTGGTCGAAGATGGCCTCACCTCTCATCTAGAGCTCTGGAGCAGACCCCAGCGACTTTCACTCTTGCCCCTGAGTCCTTTTCCCACTCTGTAGCTAAGGTCAGCTTTTAAAAACACACCCATGATCACCTAGTCCACCCACTTCAAGCCTCCGATTGGCTTTTCTTTGCAATTAGAAATAAAACCCCACTGGCTTCCGTGGCCAGAGGCCTCTGGGACTCCATGCGTTGGCTCTGGCTCCCTGCCCCTCCCTCGCTTCCTGTGCTACCCGACACTGGCCCTTTTGTTCTGTCACTGGTACCTGCCACAGGGCCTCTGAACTCGCTGTCCCCTCTGTCAGGAACTGTGTGGCAAGTTCCTTCTCACTGTGGGGGCTTCCCCTCAAATGCCACCTCCTTAGGGAGGCCTTGCCTGACCACGCCCCTTCTCCCAAACTCTGCCAACCTCTATCTTACTACATCGATCTGTTTTTTCATTGCTATATCATTGACATTTTTTTATTGTTATCTGAAACGATCTTACTTAAATTCATGTGTTTATTTTCATGTTTGTTTCTCAACCCGCCTTTGTAACCCCTGTCCCAAACATAAGGTATATGCGGACAGGAGTTTTGTTGGCTGTTGTCATGTCTGTGTCTCTGGTATGGGGACAGCGCCTGGCACCTGTAAGGCACAGAAAACATGTTTGATGGATGCTGTTGAAGGAGAGAAGTTTATATCTCACCTGGCCTCAAGCACATCCTCCTGGCCCCACCACCTCTCCCCTCTCTCGTCCTCCTCACCAGCAAACTTCCGGGAGTGGATCACAGTTGTTTAGCCATGGGCCCTTCCCTCTGCGACCCTGAGCCATCCAGCTCTTGCCACCATGGCTGTTCAGTACTTCCTCAGAGTCCCGGTTACTCTGAAAAACTCACGTCAAGTGCCCTGTGCCCTGTGCCTCTCTGTAGCATCTGCCATGATGAATCCTCTTCACATTCATGAATCTTACTTTGAAATGGTGCCTTGTCTTTGCCCTGGCTGGTGTGGCTCAGTGGATTGAGTGGCAACCTTTGAACCAAAGGCTGTCTGGTTCAATTCCCAGTCCCCGGGGTTCAGGCCTGCTCTCCAGTTGGGAGCATGCGCGAGGCAACCACATATCCATGTTTCTTTCCCTCTCTTTCTCCCTCCCTTTCCCTCTCTCTAAAAATAAATAAATAAAATCTGAAATGTTGCCCTATCCTGGCCCAGGTCTTCCAGGGACATGGTGGCCTGGGAGTACATCCTGGAGGCTCTCAGTGAGGTACTGAGTGTCCCCTTCGCCCGCCCCAGGTGAGCAGGCTGGCTCTTAGCCAGATGATCCAGAACAGCTAGAACAGGTCGGTGGTGCAAACTCCCCCTGGAAAGTGCAAAGGGACCTGCTCAAAGCACCCGAGGGGATCCTGACCTCATGCTGGTGGCACCTTGGCAGTGGTGTGCCCTGCTGGTGCCCAAAGGTCAGGGAAGGAGCCACCACCAAAGGGTACTGCTGAGGTGCCTGCTCTGTGTCGCTATCCCTGGGCTGAAAATTGGCCCCGTCTCTGCAGAGTAAGTGGGACCTTTTTCCTGTGCCTGCGCAATTTTTTGTTCCATTCCATGGTGTGAAAGGCACAGCTGCCATAGCCAGGTTCTTGATGTCCCAGATCACAGTCCTCTCATTGCCCCACTCAGTGCCCACTTTGATGAGGCGCCTGGGGTTTTGAAGTGCCCACCTCTCCTGTCTACTAGCTGTATGGCTTTCGGCAAGTTCTTGCACACCTTAAATCCCTCAGCTCCACATCCAAAAAGTGAGCAGAACCTCTGTGACCACACGGGCTTGTTGTGAGGATGAACGGAGGCCATGCCCAGAACACTGAACCGTCCATGGCTCCCCATTGCCCTCCTGATTAGGTCTGACCTTCAGGTCCCCACCTTCTTTTCCTCCACATCCCTCAGGATCCCCCACAGGCTCTGCCCTCCTCAGAATGCCTGGTCCTGCACATTTGCACAAGCCTTCCACTGCTTAGGGAAGACCACTTCTCCCTTGGGCTTTGTCTGTTTTCTGTATTTTCCCAAAACAACAAGAAATGCATTAATTTTATACCTAGAGAAAATCCTCACCATTAACATTTTGAATGCCCACATGTCACTGGTGGTTGCTCTGGCCTTTAAACCACCCCCCAATTTTTAACACCTCCCTGGTACTAGGTCTTAAAGTACACAAAGTCAAGTATGTATGGGGACATAATACAAACATGCAACCAATTGTTGCAGAAATCAAAAATGTACTCTCTTCTAAGGGCAGATTTGCATTCTTCTTACTCATCTGGGTATTTCCACTGTAGTGACTGGTGATTCTCAGACTGCCTTGTGCTTGGTTTCAATAAATATTTGTTTAATTGAATTGTTAACCAATGCATGTAAGAACAAGCAGGACCTACATACCGTGCCTCTCATGAATAGAATAAAAATAACCAATGGAATTTATCAGATTAACTGATACAAGGTTTTGTTCTCTTGCCTAGAGAGCAGGCTAAAAAGAGATCATTTAGAAGCTTTTCATTTCCAAATCCAGCGAGTCTGATGCCACTCGAGTGGATGAGTCACGGCAGCAGTTGTCATGATATATCCGATCACATCTATCTTTTGCTTTTTCACTCATGAGAAAGACTTGAATACTTTACAAGGGTCAGGTCCCGAGAGGGGTGAGGCGCTGCCCCCCACCCCGGCCCTGCAGAGCAGTGATTATGAAGAAATGCTCATTCCGGGGCGGCCTTCTCTCTGAGGGGTAGTCATTCACCCTCCTGCGGGAGATGTCAGTCTACCTGCCTGTCACCTTATGTTGCGGGAGCAGTTTAATGATGAGGTGATCAACTCCTTCTTACAAATTTTTAGTTCTTCCGTGCAGTTAATAAAAGAGCGCTAAGTATTGTTGCTTTAATCTTACTGATTACACCAGACAGCTGAATAAGACATATTATCCACTGTGTACTTGATCATATGTTTAACTTTTTCATTTCCCTGAGTCAAATATTCTGGTTCCCTTTTTATTGATTGTGATCATCATTAAACAGCCTACCCTGAACACCTTCCTGTTGGGAGGTCTGTACAAATTAGGTTAGTTCTGATGCAAAAGGAGCTTGGGATTTAAACCAGCATAAAGGCCAACAGTCCTGACTCCCTGTAGCACATGTGGCGATGTTTGAAGACATTTTTGGTTGTCATAGCTGGGGGAGGGGCACTCCTGGCGCCTAGCGGGAAGAGGCTGAGCTTGCTGCTAACCATCCTATAATGCATACGCAGCCCCAGAGCAAAGAATTATCGGGCCCAAAATTTCAATCGTGCTGAGGCGGAGAAACCCTGGTGAAGCCATATGGACTTAAATGGACAAATAATTTAAAAGTAGGGACAGATTAAGAGATGCCTATGCACTATACAGACAAGAGACTGGAGGCAAAGGGAATAACTCAATGCCCATCAGAATAGCCCGGTGGCGGAATTCAGTACCTTTCTGCCACTACTGGAGAAGACTTCGTGAAAGGGGAAAACAGGGTGCAGGGGATCCTTAGGGAACCAAGAGATCTTCAGGAAAGCCCCCGATGAATGAAAATCATTCTGATTTTCATCACTGTGGTCTGCATCTGATAAAAATGCTAGTCATTTAGGAAACCGTCACAACTAACAAGCCCTTTACATTGGGAGACAGGGAATTTATTCTGTGATTACGATATTACTCACCCAAGCCCAGAAACTACTTAAAGTTCACAATCATGTTAATGCAAAGACCAAAGAGGAGGAACCATTCAGCTGGCTCAAAGAAGGTATTGCATCATTTCCTTGTGTGCGGTTCTGGCTAAAAATAACCTTTAATCCTCATCAAGAGTAAACTGTCAAAGAGAATTAGGAAGTTACCTCAGGACGAGGTAACAGGGTGGGGCAGAGAGAGCAATTTATCAAGGAAGAAATTGTTGTATTTTAAGGCTGAAATATCAGAATGGAGAAAAAGCAGGGCAAGGGGAATATGGCCTGTGATGGGGAGAGGAGGAGGAAGGTGCATGGGAGGTATTTGCATGTGTGTATTTTTGGGTCAGGAGGCACAAGATGTCCACCTGGAGCAGAGGTGGCTGACAACGGTGTCTTAAGCTTTCGGGCCACTGGGTGTTCTTTGGCCATCAGTCTTGGGCAGTCTGTCTCAGCCTCGAGAGCTCACAGAGACAGAGGGTAAACCACAAGCTCTGTGCCTATTGGGCCATGAAAGGGAATGGGAAAGGCTGACCTAGACTGATCCCCAAAGCCATCGTCACCTTGGTGTTACCACAACACACACTGGGGACAAGAGCAGACATGTTCCTCATAGGGTGACCACTGCACAAGCTGTAAGGGAATAGGGAAGGGCAGCATATGTGAAACAAAGGAGGTTTTTTGACCTTTCAGATGAACTGTAGATTTCAGCCAGCTGGTAGTCACTTCCTATTTGCCACAATGTTAAAAAGTCCATAAAGCAAAAACCTGGAGGTACTATGAATATGCCCTCAATTCTTACTTTAGGGACTCAAATATAGGCATATTTTCAAGGATGGAAATGTCCTGTCTCACTGTCCTTTCAGGCTTATAATTTGGGGCAAGACTTACTGCTCCAGAGGCAATCAATAGACATACCTC